GTTCAGTCCCATTCACACTGTTCTAGAATGTTCTCCACGACTCTGTTCTAGAATGTTCTGCCATTTACATTGCTTTAGATGATTCTCACACATTTACAAGGTTCTAGAATATTCTCCTCCATTCACACTGTTCTAGAATGTTGTCTCCCATGTGCACTGTTCTAGAATGTTCACCGGGTCACACTGTTCTAGAATGCTCTCTCACACTGTTCTAGAATATTCTAACCCATTCCTTCTGCTCTAGAATGTTCTATTCCACTCACACTGTTCTAGAATATTCTAACCCATTCCTTCTGTTCTAGAATGTTCTATTCCATTCACACTGTTCTGGAATATTCTGCCCCATTTGTGCTGTTCTAGAATGTTCTCATCCATTCATGTTATTCCAGAATACTCTTACTTATTTACACTATTCTAGAATGTTCTCCTCCATTCACACTGTTATAAAATGCCATCTCCCATGTGCACTGTTCTAGAATGCTAGAATCCTATTTACATTGTTCTAGAATGCTCTCTGCTACGTACACTGTTGTGAAATTTTCTCTCCTGTGTTCTAGAATGTTCTCCTCTGTTTAAACTGTTCTAAACTGTCCTAAACCATTGACACTGTTCTAAAATATTCTAACCCATTCCTTCTGTTTTAGAATGTTTTCTTCCATTTACTCTGTTCTGTAATGTTCTCCCCTATTTATGCTGTTCTAGAATGTTTTCAGCCATTCCCGTTATTCCAGAAAGCTCTCCCTCATTCACACTGTTCTAAATGTTCTCCTATGTACACACTGTTCTAAAATGCTCCAACCCACTCCTTCTGTTCTAGAATGTTCTCATCCAATCACATGGTTCCGGAACATTCTTCCTCATTTATGCTGTTCTAGAATATTCGGTAACACCTTCTACGAATAGTCTATGAGGACATATCAACTCATTCATATGAACATGTTATAATGCATTCATAAGGCATCATAAACATGGCTATAAATATTTATGCATTACACTTTGCATCGTGAAAACGTTCTCCAGGCTGATGGAGAATGTGCTGTAGATGGTTCTATATAGAACCTTTTTGAAAAGGGTTCTATATAGCACTTTTGTTACAAGGTCAAGCTTGTAACAACAGAAGAACATAGAAACCTTTTTTAAAAGGTTCTATATAGAAACATCTATAGCACTCCATCAGTCTGAAGAACGTTTTCACCTTGTAAAGAACCCTTTAATCATGCAAAGGTTTCTTTGAGTGTTTATGGTTGTATGTAGAACCATTTTATTTACTAAAGAACCATCTTTTTAAGTGTGTAGGATGTTCTCCTGTTGGAGCCGCGCTATTGAAACTCCAAAAGAACTTTCAAGAACTCAAGGCAGCACTCTGCATTTAAACGGAACCCTTTAGCTTGCACGCAGAGCGACAGCGTTTTCCTGTCGGCTACTTGACAGCGAGAGAGTGTCTTCTGGGAAATCTCTGGTCTCTGATGTCCAGGGAGTCGCTTCCCGCTCTGCATATTAACGAAAAAAAACCCACATCACACAAATCCAGGCCGATCCAGAAAGCCCTCCGGATGAAATGCATTTATAAAAGGTTTCGCTAAAAAGTCTGTTTTTATTTCTCCTGCTACAAATTCCAGCTTCAATACTCAACAACTCCCAGCAGACTCTGGCGAACGGAGGCAGCTTTGAGCTTATCTCTTCAAACAAATATTTAATAATGAAAAAAGGTCAAGGACCAGCCTGCGCGCTTCCGCCTTTGTGTCTGCCAGCAATTTTTTTTTCCCAGCAATCAATTGGATTTGAAATGTGTAGCTTTCGCCCTGGGTAATTCCTGGGGAAAAAAAACACAACGTCTCCCGAACCGGCTTGATTGTGAAACGTCGGGCACGCAGGTGGAGGCGGGCAGGGTAAAACTGCAGTAAATCCTCAGCTCACGGGGAAAAGGTTAAAGTCTCTGTGTGCAGCCGCCTGAGTGAACCTCGCGGAGAAATAATATTCCATTCTTGTTCGAGAACTTCTGAGATCCATCCGAGGGTTTCAGTCACGTGATTTTTCTGTTGTGGCCGCCTTATTTGGGACTGAATTTCTGGCTTCACTGCTCCGCACAAACGTAACTAGAGGTGAAAGATGGCTAATATTACTCTCCTTACTTTGGAAAAGGAAAAATGTTACCTTGACAAAGTCGATAAAAAAGGCTGTGATCTTATACAGTTTCCTCTGAACTCCTGGACCCACTTAAACTGGCAGAAATCTACCAAATATGTCTTTTCCTGACATTTATATTTCTCTCATACACAACCCCTCTCTCTAATCTGGAGAGTCTCTCAAAGCATTTAAAAGCACGGAAGCCCACCGGCTCTTCATGTCAGGGTGGGTAAAGGATCCCATGGTGTTGCATAAAGAGGAGAAAACACTCCGTCATCATAGGAGGGTAACGACATCAGCTAATTAACACAGATGTGATCAATGCCAGCCTTTAGATAACTTTAGCTGACGTTACCAGCTGAGAGATAAACAGTCGTCCCCCTAACGGAGCTGCAGACAGCCGGTATAACTTCACTCTCTGTTTCTGGAGATTTAAATGAGGTTTGAATGGAGAAACATAAGCGTTAAATATCAGACTGAATGTTGTGGGTCAGAAAACGACGTCGTGTTTCGACAGACGTGATTCTGTAAGTTTGCTAGTGCAGTTAGTTCAGAGTTCAGCTCCAGTTCTGCAACCCCTGCACTGCATAACTGTGGTTTCCTGGTCAAAATACCTGATATTATTAGCCCCTTTCTTGAGCTGAACGAGGTGTGAACAGCAGAGAGAAACACTAAACTGTACAGTGCAGCGGCTCCAAGACTGGAGTCTGAAACACTGAATTAAAGGTCTGTGTGTCTCTCGTCTCTTGGCTGTGGCGTCTTGCACAGCAAATTAAAGGCATCACACAGCACAGTGACTCCCTGATTCGGTCCTGAAAATGGTGACTATACAGTGTGACGTCACGCGAAACACGAGAATATGAGGACGAAAGATCCACGGAGCTGTTTCTGAACACTGGAACACTCACACACACACACAGCCAGGCCACATTAGATCACACACACATCTGCTGACAGACAGACAGAGAGTTCTGCATTTGCACCACTCTCTGAATCCTAATAAACAAACATCTATTTTAATGTTGAAGGAGAATTCCAGCGATTTTTCAAAATTTCTGTGCAGCTGAACAGTAAAGATGTAAACAAAGCCAGTCAGAGTGGCCTAAAATCTGTCCTAGAGAAACTTGCAGCATCAGAGCTGTTCACATGGTGGTGATGGGAACCAGACGTCTGAAGGGTTCAGTGCTTCTAAAAGCTCCCTCACAATGTTACTGCATGAAATAGTTATGAATGTGCTGCCTGATGTCTGAGGCATTGTTTACGATAGTTTTGAGAACCTTTCGGCCTAAAATGTATTTTTAACAAACGTTTCTTGGGGGGGGGGGTGCATGTAAGGCAACATACCATCCAAAGAAAATGTATTTTGTCAGATTTTGCCATCATCAACATTACATATAAAACTCAGTGTGTGAGTTCACTGGTGGTTTTGGACGGTAAATAAAATGGCTATTTTTGTGTTGTAGACCTGGCAACCCCTGGTTCCTATCACCACCACTGGAACGAAACCTCAGTCTGTAAGTTTGTCTCCAATCAAACCACTCTGAATGGCTTTGTTTAAATCTCAAAATTTGAATTATACAGAAATTTAAAAAGCAACTGGACTTCCCCTTTACGGTTTTTCTATGATATGCTTTTCTGTTGTGGTCAAATGACATTTTCGGTTGATTTTTATATACGTTTTCTGAACACATCCTCCACAGAGAGCACACTTTAATTACAATTACCCTTTATTTGAACTTAACATATTGGAAAAATAACATAAAACATAAAAATATTAAACGTGCCATGATTTTTGCACATTTAATTATTTTTCCAGTATGTTAAATTAAGCAAGTAAACAGTAACATTAACATGTGCAGAGATCACCCTTCATCTCATTAATTCCAGTGAAAATGACCGTTAATCACAAGTTATTCATTTTTCTCTGCATCAGGAAGTTCAGTATGTAGTGTGTCCAGTTTATTTGTGCCTTTATTACAGCTTCTATTCTTTTCAGGAGACTCACTTTCAATATCCACACCCCCCAAAGTTCACCCCGAAGTTGGCTGCATTTAATGCTGAGTTCAATAAACAGTTAAGATGTAAACAGAGTCATCCAGAGTGGTCTGAGATCTACCCCAGTGACTTATTCAGTGGTGGTGATAGGAACCAGACGTCTGAACAGTTTAATGCCTCTTAAAGCTCCCCTACAAAATTAATAACTAGAACTTAACAGTCATTTTGACTGGAAATAACAAACTTCTTTTCTTCTCTGAGAAAAAGAACCTGTGACGATGATGGAATGTTTTCCCTAAAGCTTCATAATTTACTTAGACACCACATTAACATGCCTATAGAACTGGGTTCAGTCATCAAGACGACTTCAAATGGTTTGTGTGACTACACAGTCATACGCTACACTGAGTCTAGAGGCTAATCTGTGCATTAGAAGTCGACACGCTAACATCAGTGGAGGTTAATTCAGTTAGAGTAAAGCATTAAGGAGAGCACTAATGGCTCTTACACTTCATCTCAGAGGAGCGCTTCACTCGGAGGTGCCAACGCTGCAAATAAAGACTAAATAATAATGACTGAAAGCTAACCGACAGCACCGCGCACACGAGCTCACGCTCACTGCGACCCATCATCTCGGACTCGTCGTCAGCCGTGTGAACATTTCTGAACAGAGTATTCCAGCAGCGTCTTTGAGGGCCGAGATCCAGGGTAGTTTTCTCCTTCTCGCTCTCCTTCAACATGAGGCTCATTGAATAATTTATCGCATGCAGTCACATTAAGAGTGACTGATGGTTCTGTTTTGTGAATGAGGCTGTCTGGTTATCGTCGGTCCGTGAGGAATGACAGGGCTCTTAAATGGGTTTTGGACAGGCGCTCACCGTGACGCTGTACTGGGACACGGAGATGTTGCTGGGGTGGACGCTCAGTCTCACACACTGCTTGATGTTGGAGGCGAAGCGGCGCGGCTCGGACGACCTCTCGCACTTCTCCTTCCTGGTGCACCTGCGAGAGAACAAACAGGACGTTTCAGAACAAAGTACAGTAAAAAGGTTCTTGCTACAACTTAAGAGACGTCCAGTGAGGCAAAGCAGTAACTTATCGACATCGCTGAGGACTAATAAGCGTGTAAATAACTTTTTCTCGATTGTGCCATGTCTGTTTAGGGCTCCACACACGGAAGGTGTCGATATTTTATTATTGTTTTCTCACTTAAACAGCTGCATCTAAAACTCCCTCTTTAAACTCGCCAGTCATCTTCTGTATGTGGTGGTGATGTGCTGGAGCATCATCGGCCTCGACTCGATATAGATTGATATGTCATCTATGATCTCTATAAATAACAATAATTATCAGACCTGCTCGAGTGATTGGATCACCTGTCAGGTATTAAGAGTTTTAACTGAACTGGGAAAATCTGCTTTTAGCCACAGAGCAACAGTGAGCTGGAACTGTTTGAGCTCAGTTTAACCTTTCCTTTATCCTTATCCTTATTATTATTATTATTATTATTATTATTATTAATAATAATAATAATAATAATAATAATAATAATAATTCATTTTATCTTAATATTTTATTGCAACTGTTTTATTTGATGTTAATTCTTTTACTGTTCCATCCTAGTAAAAAATTAGATATTTCTAAAAGTTTAGTTTACTTATTGTTTACTATTTAAGTTATTTATTTTACTCACTTTAACGTGTTTTCATTATATATTTAATTGATATTTTATGCCTGTTTCCTATTTGAGCTGATAGTTTTAGAGTTTATATTTATAAATCTTTTTTTTCAGTTGTTATTTGTTTCAGTTGATAAATTTAATTTAAACTCTTTTAGTCACTTGTAATTTGCTTGGCTACATTGAGTGTGTTTACACGATCATAATTGGATTTCTGCAGTTAGCTGATTATTCAAATGGTCATGTAAACACCATGCTCCGATCTATACATCCGATTAAGAAATCCAATAAAGGGAGCTGGATTTTATACCAGTAATCAGATTTCTCAGTGCATGTGAACTCTTACTCTGATTTCTTTCGGATTTCTCAGTCTGCACATGTGCGAAAACAGACTGCGGTACCAGAAATGAAGGATTTAAATATTCTTCATCTTCTAAATGATGTATGTTCATATTTTCAGGTAAAGTGGCGCGGTGTATTAAAAAAAGCCATTACGTTTACGTCACGTCTTCTTCTGTGAATTTATTGGCTGGTTGCAAAGCAGAAATCTGATTATTGTCTGACTCATGTAGACCTGGAGTTTCCCCATTATCTGATTACTTAAGTGCATGTAAACTTGTTGATCAGATTACTGACAAAATCCGATGTTCTGCAGTTATCAGATTATTAAGTGCATGTAAACACACTCAGTGTAAATGAGGGTCACCCTAAATATACTTCCGAGTCTAAATAAAGGTTGATTGACTGACTGATTGATTTAATGCAGAACTGAACTGAGAGAGAGAGAGATAGACAGAGAGGTAGAGAGAGAGAGGGTCCTTTCACCATGACATATTTCTGTATCATATTTCAGGAGAGCTGGGCCTGAGCTGTGAGTATCGGGCCACTGCACTGGGCCTGTTCCCTCTCAGCCATGCTGAAAACCCTATTTGTGGAACCAGAGCCGACCCAGGAGGGCTGCGGGACAGACTGGGGCTTTGTACCTCTCTAACACAGAGCTCAATTCTTCCAGCCAAGACTCTACAGGTGCCCCAGCACTGGGACCTGCTCCTAATGCAGGTCTGATCCATGACCTTCGACCGGTCGTCCCACCTTAACATCAAAACCATGATGTCAAGTTCATCTTTGACCCCTAATATTCATTCAGACCTTTATTATAGTTCCTAAACGTAATGATATCTCAACTATTTTGCATTGTTTCCCAATCACTCTCATAAGTAATAAGTATTAATATTAATAACAGAATAATGAGTCGGCAGTGAAAGAGGATAATCAGACGACACCAGGCCAAATCTCACCAAAGCAGCTACTACTGAAACTGCAGTGGGAGGAAAACACATCAAACCTCACAGCCATTTGGTTCGACTCCAACCACAATGTTGTCCAGCTTTTACCTGCACACAAAAGAAGCAGAAATCCCCTTCTGCAGTTCCGCAGCCCCCCTGGCTGCCACTCAAAACCCCCCCGCCTAATCCCCATTGACTTAAACAAACTTCCGTAGCAATTAACTACAAATCAGTGAAGAGCAGAGCCGCATGCCGGGAGACTGAAAGGGGTTTAGAACAGGAGCTGTATGGGACACGGCAACGCCTGAGTACTAGAGAGAGAGAGAGAGAGAGAGAGAGAGAGAGAGAGCGAGAGAGAGAGAGAGAAAGGAGAGGGTGAGAAAGAGACAAAAGAAAAAGAAAATCGGAGAGAAAGAGAAACAGAAGAGAAGATACAGAGAAAAAAAGAGAAAGGAGGGAGAGAAAAAGAGAACAAGAGAGAGATCGAGAGAGAGAGAGAGAGAGAGGGAGAGAGAGCGCGAGAGAGAGAGAAAGAGAGAAAGGGAGAAAGAGAAAGAGACAGAAAAGGAGAGGGAAAGAGAGAGAGAGACATAGAGAGAGAGAGGGAGAGAGAGAGAGAGAGAGAGGGAGAGAGAGAGAGAGAGAAAGAGAGAGAAAGGGAGACAGAGAGAGAGAGACAGAGAAAAGGAGAGGGAAAGAGAGAGAGAGACAGAGAGAGAGAAGGGGGTAGATGCGTGTATTGTGCAGTTAAGCGGCCTAGCGCGGGGAAGTCGGCGGGCGGAATTGAAAGGGGGGAGTAATCTACTCGGGAGTGAAAGAAAAGGGATGTAGGAGATTTAAGAGGCAACAATCATCCTCCTTCTCTGCGCTCCTCCGCTAAGCGGGTCTGAGAAGCTTTTTAATCAGAACGCCTCCCTTTGTAGCGCCAATCACTCGGTTTGTTCCCCATTCTGCTGTGATTCAATAAACAAGCCGTGCACAATGTGTTCAGACTCACAGAGACTCGCACGGAAAACCAGCAGAAAAGTTTAGAGAGAGAGGGAGAGAGAGAGAGAGGGAGACAGAGAGAGAGTGTGTAACAGTCAGGTGCAGAGTGCTGTAGAGGAGACAACTGTGTGTGGTGCGAGTGTATGTGGGGGGCGTATCTCAGTCGCCGGGCGGGGGACCGGTAGCCTGCTGTTAGCTCCACTTTAGCTGTTATCGGCCCACCACTCTAATGCCGAGCAGTGCTGATACAATTCAATTTCCAAATAAAAGAATGTTCAAAAGTTTCAAAAACATTTTTTTCTAATTCAAAGTAGCTTTATTGGTGATTGTTTTGAGTACGATGTTGCCAAAGCATACAAAGTTCGACCCAAAGCGGAACATACTTTGTAAAATTAAAAACAAATGAATTAGAATTAATAATAGTAATAATGATAATAGCCACAGTAGAATAATAACAACTATCATGTTAAAATCAATAAAGTAAGTGAATAAAATAAGACAACATATATGAAATAATAAAAATGATAACAGACAGTATTTCTCTGTTTTCGGAACAAAACCTTATATCTCCAAAATGATAACTTTACACAAGAAGGTAAAAACGTACTTTACTTTTAATGTAAGTCATTTGGGTCATTTTTTATTAAATTCACACACTCAATAATGCACTCAATAATCCGATCATAATCAGATATCTGCAGTCATCTGATTATTCAAATGGTCATGTAAACACCATACTCTGATCTAGAAATCCGATACAGAGGCTGGATTTTAGCTCAGTAATCAGATTTCTCAGTGCATGTGAACTCTTACTCTGATTTCTTTCGGATTTCTCAGTCTGCGCATGTGTAAAAACAGACTGCTGTACCGGAAATAAGCGAGGAGCGTCGCCGTGAGATGCAGCAAAACACTTCTGGAGCGATGCTGAAACCAAATACATGCTTGATTAAATGAAGGATTTAAATATTCTTCATCTTCTAGATGATGTATGTTCATATTTTCAGGTTAAGTAGTGATGCTTTTTTTAAAAAAGCCGCTCATGAAGTTTGAGTTTTACGTTACGTTTAAGTCACGTCTTCTTCTGTGAGTTTATTGGCTGGTTGCAAAGCAGAAATCTGATTACTGTCTGACTCACGTAGATCTGGAGTTTCCCCATTATCTGATTAGTCAAGTGCATGTAAACGCGATGATCAGATTACTGACAAAATCTGATTTTCTGCAGTTATCAGATTATTAAGTGCATGTAAACACACTCAGTGTAAATTACAACAGGCATTTTCAAATTATGTCAAAAGTGAAAAGCGACAAAAGTGGATATTTAACTTATGTACAGAGAGGGGTTTGGTGGGGGGTCAGTGGGGGCGGGGTGAGGAGCGTGTTATTTACTGTCAGGTGGTGACATGTTGCCTCATATTTTGCAGTGAGAGATGCTGTTTGTCCTTTTCCAAGAAGAACTGGTAGTTTTTCAGATAATGGTAGAATTCCAAAATTTGGGAGAATGTTTTTCAATTTCGTTGCCACTTTGAACTTTTCACATTGAAGGAGGAAGTGCAGCTCTGTCCCGACTCACTGTTTCCAATAACGTAAACAGATACATGTATAAAATGACTCTATTACAGTGTTTCTGCTCACAACTTCACAGATCCCCACTAATTAGTAGGAAGTTGTGAAATGTGCTGAAATTCTGAATGTCCAGGCTGACAGTCAGCGCTGTAGATGATGCCACGATGATGGAGAGAGCTGTGAATGGAGCTATACTAAAATAAACATCTATACTTCAAACATGCCGATCAAATCTCAGTCAGATAACATTAAAAAACTACAAATAAATAATTACAGTATATTACTGATCATAAAACTAAAACTGATTAAATCTAAAACTGTGTAAGTTATTACTGTATGAAATAACAGCAATTATTAACATGATAAGTGATCCCAAATTTTAAACAATAGTGTATATATTATAATATCAGATGATATTTTAAGAATTTTCCTTTTAAATGTGTTTTATGGATTTTGTTTTGTTTCTGGAAATTCTTGAATCGTAAGAC